AAAAGATATATATATCTTCTTTTTTTAATAATAAAAATATACTTTTATATATATATATATATATATATATATATATATATATATATATATATATATTACTGTGGGCAGAGATAAAAGAGGATATACGTGATGCAAAGCTTTTTTCTCCCGCATTTTTAATCAAGTGCTTTTATGAAATAAAAAGGAGAAAAAGAAAATAAGAAAACAAAAAAAAAAAAAAGAAAAAAAAATATTACGTAGGAAATATTTCTATCGTTCGAGAAGCATAGTTTTCCGAACTATGCTTTCACGATAAGTCAATAAAAGCGTCCGTTAAATAATGCTTCAATAATTTCAACTAGAAAATTCAGAAAGAGCTTTGTACTTGAATTTAACGAAGCGTGGGATGATGTAAATGAATGTTAACATCCTAAACACAAATATGAATTCAACTGTATCGTGATAAATTATAATAAATTAATATTATTTGATCATTTTCACGGTGATGATGGAAACCTGATAATTGTTTTGCGTAATTATAATTCGAGAATGAACGTTTGTTTTCTCATTTTCTCTTATTAATTCTTTTGTTTATCTTCTTAATTTATTTATTATCAATATTTATTCAAACTATAAATTGACATACCTTTGTCTTGCAAATTATAATTTCACGATTTATGAAGTGTTACGTCTTCAGAAAAAGTTCGGGAAACGTTGATTTAATAGGTCAGAAAAATATTTCAATAGTATATATATATATATATATATATATATATAAAATATATAAAAAATGGGTATCTTCTATTGGATGAGAAAAGGTATATTTTTATTATCCAAAAAAAATATATGTATATATATTTTATCGTGGGCATAGGTGAAAGAAGATATACATGATACAAAGCTTTTTCCCCCACGCATTTTTAATCAAGTGTTTTTACGAAATAAAAATAAAAAGAAAAAAAAACAACAAAAAAAAAATAAGAGAAAAATAAGTAAGATGAAAAATATGGATAGAAAATATTTCTCTCGCTCGCTCTACATACATACATATATATATATATATATATATATTCTTCCAATCCTTTTGATCGTTGAATCATTATTGCGAGATATAATAAATGATAATATTTATTACAGATTTTGATGTAGTAGTTTAACCATTTAGAATATGGGTTAGAAAGGATGTAATTATTGTTACCTTATATAATGGAGCTGCTTTGTCGGATCGAAAGGGAGGAAATAAAGAAAGAAAGAAAGAAAGAAAAAGAAGAAAAAGGCAAAGTCGCTTCTGCGTTTCACGAGTCGAGATATCGCTTATCTACCAATTTGAAGAAGAATGGTATCATCGTTTGTTCTTTTGGAATTTTCTCTATCCCATTTTATTTCCTGTCTACCCTCTCATTCCCACACCTTCTCTCACCCGGAGAAAGAGAAACAATCGTTGTTTTTCTTTCTTTTTCTTCTTCTTCTTCTTCTTTTCCTTTCTCTTTTTTTCTCTCTGTTTAACGACTTGGATATAATTAGTATTGTAATTTTTTTTGTCCTTTCGAAAAATGTAGAAAAAGGAAAGAAAAAAAAAAAGACAAGAAAAATGGAAAGAAAAAATTTCGAACAGTGAAATTTGTTTATTCGATCCATCGAAGTAGGAACAGGAGTAGAAGGAGTAGGGGAAAGAAAAAGGAAGAAGAAAAAGAATGTCTAAGAATTTGAAGGATCGTTGTAACAATCCCAGAAACAATGTCAATTTCAATTAAATATATTTTTATCATTTAATGGGCGAATAGGGAAAACGAAAATAAAGGAAAAAGAAAAAAAAAACAAATAAAAAAGACGAAAGAACGAAAGAAATGATTTGAGGGATTATTTAACGTCAAAAGAAAGTTTTTCTTTATGATATTACCAGAATGTATTTTCAAGTATCAAACAATTTCTTAAAGCTTCGTTGCTTGATTGCCATTTAGGTTAACAAGCATAAAATATTACTCCGTTATATTCATAGCTTTGTGAGGATAGTAGACATAGACTTATGCGTCTATCCCGAAGCTTTTCATAAGAGGAAACTGCTTTAGACTTCGATGCTGATATCCTGGCAATGGCCACCTTCATTTACCTTCTCGAGAACGAAACTATGCCAAGTATTACGGTTTGTCTTTGCTTTATGGTTCGTCCGGTTGAACGTCGTTCCACTTCATGATATACGGTTTGGCTTCTAAGTAGAAACAGCAGGATGTTTGCTGATTCTGGCCAAAATCGATATTTCATTGGTTTAAGGTCGATAGTTTCATCGTGAATTTCGCGAATTGACGCTACGAACTAAAGATTTAACAAAAAAAAAAAAAAGAAAAGAAAAAGAAGGAAAGGAGTACTCGAAAGATCTCTTATAGATAAATTTATTGTTACCTATACGTTTGACGATTGTAGGAACGAAGTTAAGGAATGTTGTTTGAAATTAAAAAAGAAAAAAGAGAGAAAAAAAAAAAGAAAAGGAAAAAAAAAAGAAGAAACTTATTTTAACACGGCAACGCTTGTACTCGTTAGCTCATGTATTTGAGAAAAAGCTCAATGAGGTACAGACAAAAACAATTCTCGTCAATCGCTCACATACGTATAATAACTTTTTTTAATATTCCATACGGTTTAAAAAGATGATTGAACGATCCGATATTTGAGCCGTTCACTTATCGAATCGATTAATTCCATAAAATAAAAAGTGGAGAGATATGATGAAATAATATAAATTGCTTTTGAAAATTTCCCTTTAATATTTAAATTCAAATAAACATTTGTAATATGTATAAAGATCTTGGTGATGCGTTTGAATTGCATTATTCCAACGATTTACGTTGGAGTTAATCAGATTGCCTTTTGAAATAAATTTCGTTTATATTCGATTCGTCAAAAAAAAAAAAAAAAAAAAAAAAAAAAAAGAAAAAAAACAGAAAGAAAGAAAGAAAGAAATTTTCGTCATCTAACGGTATTAAATCAGCGGAAATTCGAGAAATTTATTATGAATATGAAAAGGGCTCCATCGTCGAGTACTTTCACGCTTAAATTAAAATGAAAATTTCAAGGAGTATGAATTAATCGAGATTTGACTTGTGAACGGTGGCTCAATTTATATGAATTTTTGAACGTTGAATTGTTAATTATGCATATTTTTTTCTCCTTCCCATTTCCTCGACATTCCTTCCTTTGACCATATACTTATTTACGTAATATATCGTTTGTAAAATGCAAAAGCATAATTTTTTTAGTTAAAACTTTTTGATGTTAACGGATGAGAACGGTTTCTTGTTTTTTTTCTCTTTTTTTTCTCTTTTTTTTTTTTTCTTTTCTTTTCTTTTCTTTTCTCCTTTCGAATGATTTTATACGTGACTCTTTGAGACGACAATAAAAATCACGAAGAGAGGGCGATTCTTATCTCTCTCTCTCTCTCTCTTTTTCTTTTTTTTCTTTTTTTTTTATGGCTTCTGCAATCCCACAATTCCTTCTTTTGTCCTCCGTCATTCCTTCCTCGATGTTTGCTTTAGTAAAGGAAATACCATCGCATCATAGGTACGCGAGAGTCGAGAAATATGAGACGCGTTGGTTTCCAGTGTAAGGGAAGTTCGGATTTATTAAAAAACTATTTGACAAAAAGAACAAAAAAAAAAAAAACAAAAAAAAAAAGAATCACGAATATGATCTCGGAACAATTGAAAGGCATTGAAGAAGATAGAAGAGTGGATGATTGTGGTTGGGTAACAGCGAGAGTGAGGGAATAATGCTTACATTCTTACTTCGACTTCTCCGAATTTTGATTTAATTAAATCGTTCGTCGATTCAATTAATGCACTCCGATCGAGACAACCTTTTTTTTTCTTCCCCTCCTCTTCGTAAAAGAACATTAAATTAACTTTTTGCCACTTTCTATATTTTTCCTTTTTTCTTTTCTTTTCTTTTTTTTTTTTTGTATGTTCGTTTGTTTGTTTGTTTTTTTTTTCTTAAATCTCACAATTTTCCTTAAATAACAAGATAAAATAAAACGAAATAAAACAAAATAAAATGAAATAAAATAAAATAAAATAAAATGAAATAAAATAAAATGAAAGAAAAGAGTAAGATGGAGTAAGAATTAGGGGGAAGAAAAAAAAAAAGAAGAAGAAGAAGAAGAAGAAGAAAGAAAGAAAGAAAAACACGTGAATAAAAAGAGCAAAGTTAAAAGGAAGTTATCGAATTTTCTTATCCCTCCTTTTCTTTCCTACATAACAGGGACAGAATTTCTTTTTAAGATTTCACTGGACTAAAAGGAGAAAGATCTTTGGCCAGGCCAACGAGTTAAAGTTCAACCTTTTATAACGTAAAAACGTCAAACGGTGCTGATGCGAAAAAGAAAACGTTTATCATCGCATGAGCACGTCATACTCGATTTCTTTACTTTATTTCTTATTTTATTTCTCATGAAAAATTAACACGAATTATTTCCAACCATTGATCGTATCATTTTTAAAATATACTTAATTATTTACGTATGAATTTCAAATCAATTGATACTAAGAGATATTCGTTTAGACTATTATATCGAGATAATGAGATAGATAGATTGATAATTAGATAAAAAGATAAATCATGAGAGATTCATTTGCCTTTTTTTCTTTTTTTTTTTTTTTTTTTTTTTTTTTTTTTTTTTTTTTTTTTTTTTTTTTTAATTAATAAGAATAAAAGATAGAGAGAGAGAGAGAGAGACAGAGACAGACAGATAGACAGATAGACAGACAGACAGAGAGAGAGAGAGAGAGAGAGACAAAGAGAAAAGAATTAATCAAAATTGAGCTTCGTTCGTTCGTTTGAACCAAAAAAAAGAAAACAAGAAAAAAAAAGAAAAAAGAAAAAAGAAGGATATACAAAAAAAAAGAGAGATATAGAGAAGAAGAGTTCAATGAAAATTTAATCCGACGTTTAGGGACTCGTAAAAGCAAAAGCATAATAATCTATATTACCTTAAAAGAATCCTTAAGGAAGATGGGTACTTATATTTTCAGAGGCCCATAGGGCGTTGGAGCTCCTCGAGGATTATCACGCGAAGCTGACGAGGCCTCAGGATAAAGCATTGCGATTGGCCATCGAACGTGTCATCCGAATCTTCAAAAGCAGACTCTTCCAGGCTCTCTTAGGTAAGATTCGTATTAAAGCTTTCATTTAAAAATTATTCTATAATTATGTTCCATATAATTTTTCGATACCGATTGTAAATAATATTACGATATATACTATAAACTGTTTTATTCGAAGGGTAAACGAATCAAGGAAAAATGAAAAATGAAAAATGAAAAATGAAAAATGAAAGAAAATATATTTCTCAATATCGTGAAATTCAAGTCACGTTACGAAGCAAATACCATTCGTTTGCAAAATTATTTTCACGATGAAAATTTTTTTCCAAATATTTCTTATCATGTCATTCGATTTCTTGACCCCGTGAAAGTGACAAAAGTAAAAAAAAAATTTCAAACGACAGCTCGTTAAAATTATTCCCGCAACAATCGAAAATGACGTTACGATAAATTCTATGCGTATTTATATTTCTTGTTGCTTCAATCTCGAATCACACATTTCCTGGAAATTACTCTTTCTCGCGAATTTTAATAACTTCAAGCAAATATAAAAATGTTGATATAACCGAGGTCCCTCTGGAGACTCGGTTCGATTTAATTAAAAAAAAAGGAATAAAAAAAAAAAAAAAAAAAAAGAAAAAAAATTGAATTCAATCGCTTCGATTTAATTTTACCGCACAAGAGAAATATGTAATGATGAATTTGCAATTACGAAAATTCTATATCCAATGAATCTCAATAATTACTATTAAATGAAGTATTTCGCATAAGTCTTACTATCGCATACGATAAAATCTATAATTTATTAAAAATAAATTTATCAGATTTACAGAGATTTTAGAGAACAATTATGTGGATAAAGTTGATTTCTTGCGAATGAAGAATGAATTTGATTTGGAAAGAATTAAAGTCGAATTTGGAGTCGATATTTAAATCTAATTTTTTCCGCAATGTCATTTTCAAGTTTCATTGAAAACAAAATGTCGAAACGAATTGGTAATTTTTTTTCTCGTAATACAAAAAGAAATAACAAAGAGAAAGAAAAAAAGAGAGAAAGAGAGAGAGAGAGAGAGAGAGAGAGAGAGAGAGAGAGAGAAAGAGAGAGAGAGACGTCAAAGAAGACGTTTCATTCTATGGAAAGTAGACGATATGTTTTAGATAAAGGGGTGGGGAGGAATGACGAGGGGATGGTAGTGTCGGTACATGCAACATCTTAATACCTGTTTCCAAACTGCAAACATAAAGGCGGATATTAAAAAATCTCAAGTTCTCTTTAGTTCTGCTTTCCCTATCATCATGGTAGCCCTTTGTCCGATTCTAAATGTACAGGTAGCCCTCTGAAAAGCACTAGTAGTCATGACTATACGTCACGACTCATTTACATTCACGGTTTCCCTCTCGTTAGTTCTTCCTATCTTCGCTCGGCAATTCTCTTGGTAAATTTACTCTCGTCCCTTTCTATTTTTTTCTTTTCTTTTTTCTCTTTCCTTTCTCTTTCTTTCTTTTATTTTCCTCTTTTTTCTCCTTTCCTTCTCTTTTTTTCTTTTCCTCTTTTTTTTTTTTTTCTTTTTTTTTTTCTTTTTTTTTTTTTTTTATTTTTTTTATTTTTTTGATCCCAACAAAGATCGTCTCCGTGCATAAGATCCAATTCTTCGACGATTTTTTTTTATCTACCTTAGATAAAGAATATTATTTTATTTGTTTCACAAAATGTATATGGTATGCAATTTAATGTAAATTCATATTTATTGAAATAAAAGAAATTATAATTGAAACATTTCAACTATATTACGATATATTCAATTTTAATTTAATGTCGATCATGATAAAATCACTTTTACGATGATTTCTTAGAAAAATCTTGAAAAAAGAAAAACAAAAAAAGAAAAAAAACAAAAAAAACAAGAAAAAGAAAACCTAATAAGCGCAAATTTTCATCTTGAAATATGTCATAGCTTATATCTCAATTATTGGATTTGATACCATTGGAAATGGTGACCGAACGACGAAAAGAAATTTCTCCTTTCTAACATCAAAAATCCTAGAAAGCCCTAGTGATTTTCCAAAGATTTTCTGAGATATATAACCAGAAAGGTATTCCCTTACTCCGTAATCTTATCTTATTTATTGGAATTGGCACGATGCCTCACCGTGAGTATCTGCCGTCTTTGTTACTACGAATAAAGCGGCAATGTCCGTTGCAATCCGTTGCTTTGGTGAGTATCCTCGAATTTCTTTCTTTCTTTCTTTCCTTCTTTCTTTCTTTCTTTCTTTCTTTCTTTCCTTTTTTCCTTCTTTTTTTTTTCAATCTATCCTTTTCCTCTTATCCCACGAAAAAGATCTTCTTTTATTGCGATAATGTTCTTTCGGTCAATACGTAAGTAGGTACTTACTTACGTAGTTGATTGTAATTAAAATATCATCATTTCAAATCTTATTTTTTTATATCTTTTTTTTTGTTTTACTTTCTTTTTTCTTTTTTTTTTTTTTTTATCAGAAAAAGTAAAAGAAGGAGAAAGAGGCAGAGAGAGAGAGAGAGAGAGAGAGAGAGAGAAAGAGAGAGAATACAATCAAAAAGCGACACAATTGTAATCCCGTCATTTTTAATGAACAATACGAAACCATGATTAGTAGCAGTAGGGAGGAGGTGGGGTGGGAGGGTGGACGGGGGTAGATGGTTAATGGGAACGAAAGCAAACACGACGTATTTGAGAGAATGAGATGTCGTTCGTAAATTCTCTTTTGGAAATGAAAAAAATGTAATACCGAAGGAATATAAAAAAAAAATTTTTTTAAAAAAAGAAAACTACAGAATAATTCTAAAAAGGCAAACCGAAAGAAACGGTGAATGAGAGTGAGAAAAAAAATTGATTCATCTCTCTCTCTCTTTCTCTCCTTTTATCTATCTATCTATCTCAAAATTCGAGTTTACCAAGTCAGGCTAGATTTGCATTTCAATTCCGATAGAACGAGGACAACGATCAAACAGCAAATATATTTCCACGTTTTTCGAAATCTCTTCTCTCTCTCTCTCTCTCTCTCTCTCTCTGTTTCTCTAAAAGTAGTAGTTAAGTAAGTATAGAAGTATAGTATATAGTTTAGCAGCCAAGAGAGAATAGGGTAAATTGTTGGGTGGATAGGGGATTGTGAAGAGAAAGAGAGAGACAGAGAAAGAGAGAAGGGCGGGGGGGGGGGTGGGGGAGGGGAGAGGGAGAATTTCAACCTATTTTTCACTTTTCCGGATTTTTTCTTTCGGCAAACTTTTATACGACAGTTAAGATATACAACTTTGACGGGATGAGTTTTAGAGGCGAGTAAGATGGGTGTGAGTGGGTGGAGCGGAATTTAAAAAAATTAAAAAGACTTTTATCGACTGGAATCGAACGACGAGAAACGACTAGAGGTGGTTGTTGATAGACGATAGAAGACGAAAAGGTAAATCCAAGAAAAAGAAAAGAAAAGAAAAGAAAGGAAAAGAAAGGAAAAGAAAGGAAGCGAAAAGAAAAGAAGTGAAAAGAAAAAGAGAAAATAAAAAAGAGAAAGAGAGAGAGAGAGAGAGAGAGAGAGAGAAAGAGATAGATAGAGAAGGAAAATGAAAAAGAAAAGGGGGATGGGTGGGAGAAAAAGCTTTTTAGATCGCCGTCTCGTAAATGGTTGAATCGTTTGGCAAAGGGCGTGTAAACGGCGAGAATCACTTTAGATCGCAACGCCGTTGTTTCGGGCAACGATCATCGTCGATGCGTTGCTTCCGTATCGGACATTAGTCGGGTGCAAGTGGAAGCCGTTGTCCGGCAAACTGCATTGAGGTAGAGAAGCTTTGAGGCGTAGAGACTAGAGAGTGAGAGAGAGAGAGAGAGGGAGAGAGGGAGAGACTATAGTAGAGTTTCACAGGCTTGTGCCATAGACCGATAACCAACCGGTACTCGACGTTTACATACATATATAGTACGTACATATCTATTCCCCCTACCCGCCAGACTAGTCCTATCCAATTCGTAAACAATACCTGTACGATTAGGAGCTCCTAGTTTCTGGGCCAATCGTCCTCTCTAATCATAAATCATTCTCACGATATCTAATATTAACTTGCCATTTTAAATAAAAAAAGAACAGAAGAAAGAGAGAGAGAGAGAGAGAGAGAGAGAGAGAGAGATAACAAAATTGGAATTTTGACTTATCGGCATTTTTTTGGAAATAATTTTTATGAAAAATGTTTCTTGTTATAAAACTGATTCAACGTTATGATATATATATATATATATATATATATATATATATATCATAACGTTGAATATATATATATATATATATATATATATATATATATCGTTTGTTTTCCATTATTTCATTTAACGTGGTAGATATGTATATATATGGTTTGACCCATGCTTTCAAACAGCGAAGTATACATACGATTTGAATTTTATCGTCGATGAAAACGAAAAAAATTCCAATTATCTCCCCTTCTTTTTTTTTTTTTTTCTTTCTTTATTTCTCTTTTTTTATTCTTTTTTCTTTTTTTTTATTTCTTGCTTTATTTCATTCTATGTCATTTTATTTTATTCTTTATTACTAATAACTCTCCGAATCCCGGATATAATAATAATAATAATAATAATAATAATAATAATAATAATAATAATAATAATAATAATAATAATAATAATAATAATAATAATAATAATAATAATAATAATAATAATAATAATAAAAGTGAATGAATTATAATAAGAAAAAAATGGGGAAGAAAAGAAAGATAAGATAAAAAGGAAAGAGAGGGAGAGAGAGGGGGAAAAAACGAGAACGAAAGAAAGAAATCATGAATTACGGATACGTAGAGTATAGCCGGGTAGAGTTTTTCTTTTTCGTTGCTTCATGAATAGAGATAGCTTTAATGCATCCCACGTAACTCGTATTTCCTTCTGGTAAAACAGCCTAACGTTTCTACCGCTATTTCTCTATACTTTTTATACATCCTAGTTCTCTCTTTTACTTTTAATTTTTGTTTTTGTTTTTGTTTTTATTTTTTTTTTGTTTTTATTTGTTTCTTTTTTTTTTTT